CCTGGGGTTTGTTGGTGTGTGGGTGTGTGTGTGTGTGAGAGAGAGAGAGAGAGTGTGAGTGTGTGTGTGTGTGTGTGTGTGTGTCTCTATTAATTCATGTAAAATTGTACATTGCATTGAAAATGATTTGTAACTATAACAAATAAATTAGATATTATTTGTAGCTTCATTTAATTATTCTAATTATGACCTTTTATATTTTCAATATATATTAAGAACTTGGATTACTAAAAAAGTAATACATCTTAAATATTCAATATGGAAAAAAATACTTTATTAAAAACACACAGTAAAATAAATCCCACTGGTCATTTTCTGCTATTCTCTGAGACATATATCTCTTATTGGCAGTTAATGGTCTCAGTGATTCAACAGCAGCTCTCTGAGCAGTGATCACTGTAACATGTGTAACATCAGCTCTAATGAGACAGTCAAGTAGCTGCTTGGCAGGTTTATGACCTGAGGGCTACATGGACACCTTGGCGTGTGTGTATGAGTGTGTGTGTATAGACGTGTATGTCTGTAAGTATAACTATATTTACGTGTCTGTTTTTCTCTTTCATGTGCAGCCTCATTCTTTGGGAATTACGATACAATCAAGGTGAGTTTGAACTTTCTATATTTTGTATAACCACAATCTTGTATTTCAAAATACATTTAATTTAATCCAAGGATATATTGACTTTACACTCAATGGTGCGTTTGAGTCCGTTTGTGTGTGCATGCCACATAATTCTGAAATCTATGGGTCAGATCTGCGTCCCTCGGTTTCCTCATTCAGCGGCCTGCAGGCACGCAACACAATTACCACAGTTTGTCGTTCGTTTATTGAACGCAATCACGTCGTTCCCATCACACATACACAAACAGTGAGTGACGCATCCCATCAAAATCCGGTTCCGGCGCGTTCTCTCGTGTCTTCTGAATCAGTATGTCTCTACCAGCGGCTCAAACTTAATCTCCTCAAAGGAAATTAGTCGGGGAAAAAAGGGGAAAGAAAAGCCGTCAGCCTAAAGGTCAAATGAAGATTAGAGGGAAACAGTACACAGCGCACAGCGGCTGGCACCCGGAAACACACAAAGGCCTCATTGTGACGAATCCTGCTCTGCACACACACACACACACACACACACACACACACACACACACACACACACACACACACACACACACACACACACACACACACACACACACTGGGGGAGACATGACACCTGTTGGTGGTTCCAGTCAACTGCAGGAGCCTTGAAAGTGAGGGTGGTTCTCATATTTAACACTATATAAGATGTACATCCAAGGCACATAAATCATTTTAGATGCACGTTTAATTCATTTGATATCTCTGTGAGTTTGCCGTTACATCAAAAGTTTCAATTACCCCAAAGAAAATCCAATTTCTTTTGATTTATACTATGCCAATCCTCCAGGCACACAGGGTGCGCTTACTTACTTCAAAGAGTCGAGCGGTTCATCTCAAATCCTTTCAAGGATCATTTGTGACAGTTGAACACAGTTTTACAGTTTGTGGCGCCGTCTGTCAAAATATTTGAGGGGCAGACGAGCTGGAGGGTGTTTCAGTTACACCTCTCATTAGTTAACATTATAGTCTTAACAGATAGCATATACTCTGATAACACTTTAATTCAAAACATCACGTTATTTAAAAGGTTCAAAGAAACATGATACAGATTCCTATTGTTGAAGCAGTACGGAATGCAGCGTTCTCCAGGGATTTTTATTTAAAAATACGTCACAGTAGGAATCGAACCGGTGTAAAAAATAAAATGACCACTTACTCTGCATTAACCTCATAACGAGCTAATGTAGGAACTATTTTCTGGGCAGAAAGTAGTTCCGACTAAGATTTTTTGCGGCGAGGTCTGTGGACTATCTGCAGAAACTGTGACACTTACATTGTTTTAGGACAAAGGTAGGAATCACATACATTTCAAAATCTAATCCGATACCACCAGAGGTAAATTAAGAATATAAATATTGCGTGTAATTTGCTGTTATTTAACAAGTGGTTGAAGAAAAACTGCAAAAATAGCAACACAACAGTGTAAAAATACTCAGTTACAGGTACAAATCCGGCATTCAAAATTGTACTTGAAAAAAGGTTTTGCAGAATAGCCATTTTAAGAACAATCAACCACTAATTTAAATGACTTTATTAAATGTATTAATATTATCGGTGCATTAATGTGTTCATCACTTCAATGTTGGACTTGGCAAAGGTGGGGTTAATTTGAATGACTTTATACACGACTACTGGGTAGCTTAAACTATAACTATATATATAATGAATTTATATTTTGTATTCATAACCTAAATCTGCAAAGTAACTAGTTTATTACCAGGTAGATTGACACGTACAAGGAATTTATCTTGATGTCGTGGTGCATACATAAAAGTAAAACCCAAATTAAAAACACAGATAGAGAACTAGAAAAATGTGAAAAACATAACAGTATTTACATAGAAATGGAATGGAATAAAAATCGGCAGTAATAAAAAAAGGAAAAATAAAACATATTGTTATACATTGTGTGCATTAAGTAAAAGTATAAAGTAGCAAAATACTTAAGTTAAGTTCCTACATGTTTTACTTAAGTATAGTACTTGGCTACATAACACCTCTGGTTTTCACCTGATACATGGCACTGTAACAGTGGAAGTAAAGAATCAGAAAACCTTTAATCATCCCACAGTCGGGACATTTACGTTGCTTCAGCAAAAGTAGAGTTCCAAAGATAACTTAACATTAATTCAGAAGCATGCACAAGATATGAATCCACATCCAGTAACAGGAACGGTTTTTATTTTAAAACAGTATTTTGAAATGGAGTGAGATGAAGGTCTTTTGTTTACCTCACTGCCCGGACATCAGGCAGCTCCTGTAGAGATGTGTGTGTCGAGGAAACTCCCCCAAAACAACCACAAGCTGAACTTTGATCCAAACACACGTACAGGCTGATGCTCATCTGCAGGGCGCAGGTTCAGTGGAGCTCTGCGTGGTTCTCATGTGTAAGACGAGAGGTGAAAGTGTGACTCGAACGCCCGGCAGCAGCTCACTCTCTCCCCTCATTTGTCTCCATCAGGCGGAGGAAACCTGAGAGGAGGCGCCGACAGACCGCTCTCACCTGAGGAGGAGAGACATCCAGGAAGCATTCTAACTAACTAACTAACTAAATTAAAAAACAATACTAATAAACAACTTCACCTAAAATAAAACACATTTGAATTTCGATTCATAGAAAAAACGTAAGAAAGAGGTGTGAAATAGTTTTAAAAACATCAGAAGTTTTTCTAAATTCAGTTTCAAATCTGGTAAAATAACGTGGATACAGTATCGTGTCGATGAACCCATAGCTAAAAGAAATCTCATAATGGTTGTGTATAATTAAATGGGTTCCTACTGGGCCCGTGCTACACCCCTCCACCAAATTCCTGAAAATTAAGCCAGTAGTTTTTCCCGTAATCCTGCTGACAAACAGTCAGGCCAAACCAGAGCAAAACCATGAGCTGCTCTGCGTAGGTAATAATTCATGAGCATGTGGATTTACTCCTGACCAGATAATCTCTACTCAAATGCCCACTTAGTAGCTGTTCTGACTGCAGCTCACAGGCACTATCAGCAAATATCTCTTTCATATAGTATCCCTAAAGAAAAGTGTATTTTTATTACATCAAATCCTGCAGGTGGACCACCGACAGGAGATAAACGATCCTTTGGGGTGAGGTAGTAGGTTGTATAGTTTTAGGGTCAATCCCGAGCTGTAAGATGACTATACAATTTACTGTCTTTCCTGAAGCGACCGTGAAGGCAGCATCATCATCATCGTCAAAAAGGAAAAATGGAAATCTGTTTTTATACATATACAAATGTGGTGATTATCCCTAAATGATAAGACTTTTAATAAGTAGATAATAGGATGTAAACTATGTAATAAGGAATATGTACCTAATGTTTTGTATTTTACAATTAGCAATTAGCTATTAGATTTGAGTGTTTTTCTGAAATATAGAAGTTTTTTTGAGTTTTTAACAATGTTTTTGTTTTTAAAATGTAAAATTAGGAGTCTGTTACTTTAAATGTGGTCATTATCAAAGTCAAAGTCAACTTTAATGTCAATCTTTCCGTTTGTGTGTACAGACAGAGAGATCGAAATGAAGTTTTCAACAATCCCGAATACAAAAATACAATTATACAATACACAGATATGTATAAAATATGTATATCCTATATACACACAATCAATAGACACATTTACCCATATGCACACATTAAGATCAAAAACACAACAATCAATATATACAAAATAACAGTCACTTCAATATCAATATCTTTGGGAATGTACATTATAATTTGAAATGCATGAACAAAATACGTCCATTAGCAGGACGTGTCATTTGAAGTCATCACTAACCTGGCTGTATTTATGTGATAGCAACACAGGAGTCGTGTCTACGTTCACACGGTGACCAGGTGGGACTTATGGTGTTCGTACAGGGTGAGGTAGTAGGTTGTGTGGTTTCAGGGTTGTGATTTTACCCCATCAGGAGATAACTGTACAACCTACTGCCTTCCCTGGAGGGCAGCAGCACATCCCAGCAGACCCTCGCTCACTGACAGAGAGCAGCCTTTGATCCCTAAGGTCTCAGTGAACAGGTGAGTAGTGCCAGATCACAAGATGCACTTCATAGCTACATACGTTACTTAAACAACGTGTTTTATCCTTGTACTGTTTCATAAATCAATAAAGACTGGATGAGAAATACCATACAAACTAATAATTGACTGGAATCTGATTCTTTCTGTGGATTTTTGTGTTGGAATATTTGTTATATCTCCTTTTTCTTGTCATTGTTCTAGTCTTTCATTTGTCCACATTTTTTGTACCTTTTTTAAAACAATTATCTGGGATTATTCCATGAAATATGTAGATTTACTGAATTAAAGGAAAATAAAAGTCCAGAAAACAATTTCAAGCTTCAAAATTCAGGAAGAAATTTGCCAACTTCACTTGAGCCAAGACCAATATCCAGCGCTTGTACCACATCCCAAACTTCTTCTTTATCTTGTTCAAACTGTGTATTTAACCTAATTAAAGGGAATGTGCAAGACTGTCTCTAATTCAGAACACATGAGAGTGTTTCCCCTCGGATGCAACAAGAGACCTGCTGAGAGACAAATTATAACCCTCCCAATTGTCTGTGAATCACTGAGCTATCCTGTGGAAGTCAACAGCAAAACGTTACGGCTAAATCCCTACGGACAGTCTCTTCTCAGGATGGAGACGTTGCTGAGCACACACACACACACACACACAGTAGATGGCGCTAGATGGTACGTGTTAAACTGGGGATGTTTGAAATTCTAATAAGAAAAAAAAGTTACTTATCATTGTCCACTTGTAAACATAAAGGGGTGATACTTGGCAATGCTTATATACAACTACATTTAATATACATAAATACAAAGAAATGCATACCATACAGGGTTCTTACGGTCATTAAAAACCTGGAAAAGTCATGGAAATTCAAAAGGCTAATTCCAGGTCCTGGAAAAGTTATGGAAAACAATATTTTTCCCAAAGTTTTGGAAAAGTCATGGAAATGTAACTAAAGTTGCATCAAATATAATTTATATTTTATCTAATCGTAGAAATAGTAATACTATAATGATAATACATACTGTATCGTATAGTAGAAACGTAAAATAAGCCAACTATTGGATTTGTTTTAGATAGGCACAACATGTTTCATATGCAGACATTATTTTCCTGTTCCATGTTAAAATAAACCATTTTCAGTGGTACCGTTGAGAAAGAGTAATGTTTTTGGTCATGGAAAATTAGGTAAAAGTCATGAAAAGTCATTGAAAATCATTGGTGAAAAAGTGTATGAACCCTGACCATACCATCAGTATTAAAAAATAAAAACAAGATTTTATTACGTGTTTGTACCATCATTGTTATACTGAAGTATCATTGTTATACTGAAGTGTCCATGCATATGCAACACAACCCCCACACACACACACACACACACACACACACACACACACACAC